TTCCCTTTAAATACTGTTTTATCTGCCTCTGACAAATTTTGATATGTTGTGTCTTCATTTCCACTCAGTTCAAAATACTTTCACAGAACAAATGTCTTTTAATGGATGAAGTCTCAATTTTCAGCCTTTTCCCTTTTGTGCTGTGTGATTATATTTAAAGATGCTTCATCTAGGCTTCACCATTTTCTTTATTTCTTTATAAACCTTTCATAGTTTTCCAGGTTGATTCACATTGTAGAATTCTTTGTATTATTCCTTTTTATAGCTGAATAATATTCCATTGTATGTTTATAGCACAATTTGTTTATCCACCCATTGATAAAAATTTTAATTGTTTCCACCTATTGTTTATCAAGAATAGTGTTGCTGTTAACATTACATGCAAGTATTTGTTGAAATACTTGTTTTCAATTCTCTAAAGTATCTACACAGCTGAGGAATCATATGCCATGTGATAGTTCTACACTTAACTTTTTGAGGAACCACCAAACTTTTTTCACAGAAGCAGATCTATTTTACATTTCCACCATCAATGAACTGATTTTTGCATGTTGTTATTGTTCCCTGAAACTTTTCTGAATACATGTAGTTTTTTCTGGTAGATTCTATGACACTTTCTATATTTAGAACTGAAAGGTTGTTGCTGAACTATGAAAGATGCTGGGATTCTTGGCCTCCAGAGAAGAATTCAATCCTGGGCCAGAGACGAGGCTTGATCGCTCAGAGCTTTTGTGTAATAAAGTTTTATTAAAGTACAAATGAGATAGAGAAAGCTTCTGACATAGACATCAGAAAGGGGAAGAAAGAATACCCGCCTGCTAGTCTTTAGCAGGATGTTATATAGTTACTACCAGTCTGTTAATGAAAGAAAGGAATGTCTTAAAACCCAGAGAATGGCACCAGGCCCCTCACCAACAAGATATATTTTGGGATAATCTTGGCACCAGGTGAGCCATGAAAGGACTGACTTGAATCTTGTAGAAAGGCATATTACCATACAAATAGTTTCATTTACATAGATTAGGAGAACAATGTCTGAGTATAACATACTGGTTTGTCAAATCGGTTCTGAGCCTAAATCTGAGCTTTTAGGACAAACCGACTTGAAGACAGAGTCTGGGGTAAATGCATAGTACATTAACATAGCTTAATACAGACATTTCCATTAGAAAAATATATTGGTTAACTCAAAATTTGAGAAAAGTTAAGTTCAGGTGGAACTAGGTGTCATTATGACAACACAGTATTTTAACAGAAACCTCTTTTTAAATTTGTATAGAGAAGGGAAAAAAATATATCACTAGTTTGCTTCCTCCTGCTGCTTAAGAGAGAGATTTAAAAAAAAATGTCTGAAACTTGCAGCCTATTTCCTCCGTTTGGAGACCCCTGGCCTTCCTACCTGTTCAGTTCAGTTCAGTTCAGTCGCTCAGTCGTGTCCGACTCTGTGACCCCATGAATCGCAGCATGCCAGGCCTCCCTGTCCATCACCAACTCCCGGAGTTTACTCAAACTCATGCCCATCGAGTCAGTGATGCCATCCAGCCATCTCATCCTCTGTCATCCCCTTCTCCTCCTGCCCCCAATCCCTCCCAGCATCAGGGTCTTTTCCAATGAATCAACTCTTCGCATGAGGTGGCCAAAGTATTGGAGTTTCAGCTTCAGCATCAGTCCTTCCAATGAACACCCAGGACTGATCTCCTTCAAGATGGACTGGTTGGATCTCCTTGCAGTCCAAGGGACTCTCAAGAGTCTTCTCCAACACCACAATTCAAAAGCATCAATTTTTCGGTGCTCAGCTTTCTTCACAGTCCAACTCTCACATCCATACATGACCACTGGAAAAACCATAGCCTTGACCAGATGGACCTTTGTTGGCAAAGTAATGTCTCTGCTTTTTAATATGCCATCAAGGTTGGTCATAACTTTCCTTTCAAGGAGTAAGCGTCTTTTAATTTCATGGCTGCAGTCACCATCTACAGTGATTTTG